TTTTTTTTCCCTGCCATGCATCATCAAGCTGTTTTTTTTTATTCGTTATTATTTTTGTTAATTTTATTTTAGTCCATGTTTTGAAATTGTCATTCTCATCTTTTTCTTCGAATACTTGATTATTAAGTTCTGAGAGTAATCTCTTTTGCCGCGCTTTTTAAATGAAATATTAATGTCTGCGTGACAATCATGTAATTCTAACCGTTCCTCGATTAAAAAATTTAGAGAAAATAAAAAGAGATAGAAGAGAGGTTTTGATGCGTAAGTTGTAACTAATAATGCTTATAATATAAGAGGGATATAAAATAATCAAAAATTAACTTTTTATAGATATAAGATTAGATTTGTTTTTTCTTCATCTCTTTTATGTTGCAAGCAGTGGGCTCTAGCTTGAGGTCTATGCATGCTCCTTGTCAAAAAAATAAAAATAAATTAAGAGCGTGTAATTCTTTTTTCATAAAAAAATTCTATCATAAAAAAAAAACTGTGATTAATTTGCGTTATTAAATCATTTATATATGTATATTTTTTTAAATCGAAACCCATTATACTTGAATTTGAGACGGTCCATACGAAACATACTAAACTCACCTCCGAACCACAGCTCAAAAGCTACTTTCAATATTTCTAAAGCTTTCTTTCTCTGGAATATTTCTTTTTAGTGCTTTTAATTCTACTTGTATTTGTCTAGTCCTAGAAGAGAAAGATCCAAAGACACCCAATTTTACATGGGCCTTGTGTTTTTAGCCCTTTTAGTAAAATCCAATCCATTACAATTTTTTTAAAATTAAAAATGACTCCATTACAATATTCCTGAATCCTAACCCTTGTCCTGTTTTTGCAGGTTCCACTGCTTGCAACTATGCACGCGCACGTGAGGTATCAACCAAAGATAACAACCTCGCACGTGCCATGGAACCACCACCACCTCAGCCACCGTCAACAACCACTACCTTATCTTTCACTGCCAACATCACCGCCTCTGAATTTATCAACCAAATGGAACAGCTTTAAATGTTTAGCAGCAATTAGCAAACAAGCCCAGCGTTTCTTCTCTGCGGTATTGCCCACCGTTGCCGCAAGAGATACATCAGCTACTAACCGTTTGATCAAGAAATTTGTAGCATCATCCCCGAAATCAATCGCCCTTGATGCACTCTCTCATCTTCTCTCCCCCGACTCCACTCACCACCCTCTGCTGTATCTTCTCACTCTCCCTGTAAGTAATAACCCATCATAAAAAAAGCTCTCCTTTTCTCCTTTTGGCATTAAAAAATCCAAATTTCTTATGCTAAATGTGTTTATGTTCCTATTTTTGCAGCTCTATTTAAAGATAAGTGAAGCATCATGGTTTAGTTGGAATCCTAAGTTAGTTGCACAAGTTGTTGTCTTGCTAGATAAACAAGGCCTAGACAAAGAGTTAAAAGCTTTGATGTCTGAAACAGTTTCAAGATTACAGTTTAAAGAGAGGGAGCTTGTTCTTTTTTATTGCAATTTGATTGGGTTTAACTCAAAACACAATTGGGTTCGTGGGTTTGATGATTCTTATTCTCGTTTGAACCAGTTTGTTAGTGAGTCCAAATCTGTTTATGTAAAAAAGCAGGGTTATAAAGCAATGATTAGCGGGTTATGCGAAATGGGTAGGGCTAGAGAAGCAGAGGATTTGATTGGAGAGATGAGAGAGAGAGGACTGAAGCCTACATTGTTTGAATTTAGGTGTGTTTTATATGGCTATGGAAGATTAGGGTTGTTTAAAGATATGGAGAGGATTCTTGATAAAATGGAAAGTGGAGAGATTGAAGTTGATACAGTCTGTGCTAACATGGTTCTTGCATCCTATGGAGCTCACAATGCACTTCCTGAAATGGGATTGTGGCTGCGAAAGATGAAAACTTTGGGCATTCCATTGTCAATAAGGACCTGCAATTCAGTTCTGAATTCCTGTCCCACGATCATGGCATTGATGAGAAACTTGGATGCTTCTTATCCAGTTTCGATTCAAGAATTGTTGAAGATCTTGAGTGAGGATGAAGCAATGTTAGTCAAAGAATTGATTGAATCATCGGTTTTGAAAGAGGCAGTGGAGTGGGATACTTCAGAGGGGAAGTTGGATTTACATGGAATGCACTTGGGTTCAGCATATGTGATAATGTTGCAGTGGATGGAGGAGACGAGGAATAGATTGAGTGATGGAGAGCATGTAATTCCAGCAGAGATTACAGTTGTTTGTGGATCGGGGAATCATAGCACCGTTAGAGGGGAATCTCCAGTTAAATCTATGATCACAGAGATAATGGCTCAAACAAGGAGTCCAATGAGAATCGATAGGAAGAACATTGGCTGTTTCGTTGCTAAAGGAAATGTTGTCAAGAAGTGGCTATGCTAACATATGAATGAGCAAGGAATCCATCCATTAAGCACAAATTTCTACTGGATTTTTCGTCGTTAGAGATTTCCTTTCTATATTGCTTTTATCCACAACACTTATTTCCATATTGAATTGAAGGCAATTTTTCAAGATATTATACACCGAACTACAGAACCGGGAGGGCTTATGTTCTTTCATTTTTATTTTTTCTATTTAAATACCTATATAGATATTTATTCCACTAACTTGCACGCACTCTCGGATTTTGATCAATCAAATATCTTTATCAGTTTTGTTATTATACTTTTAAGATTTTTTTTTTTCATTTTCATATATCGTTGTGTATTTATATTTTTCTCATATATTTTTTTTTGGATAAAAATACCCTTCAGAGCACCAAAATTTCAAAAAACTAAATAACCCCCCCCCCCAACCCACCAATATATATATATATATAAAGAAACTAGGAAAAAAGTTAAAAACCTAGAAACATAAAAACTTGAAAAGGTTATTTCCATGCCATAGATATGTTTCTATTTATGAGGCTTTATGGAAGTGATTTAAAAAAAAATAGATTTTTTTTTTATTGTGTCCAGTCTTTTTCTAGGTTGTCTAAGGTTTTTATGTTTAGTGGGTTTTTTTACATTTTTTTTGTATTTTTAAGAGTGATTTAAAAAAAAAATTAGATTTTTTTTTTATTGTGTCTAGTCTTGTTCTAGGTTGTCTAAGCTTTTTATGTTTTGTAGGTTTTTTTACATTTTTTTTGTATTTTTAATTTTTTAATTTTCATTTTCAGTTTTAGGCTTTTTCCAAGTTATTTTTTGTTTTGATGGCTATAGGAATTTTTTGGCAAGTAAAAAAAAGACATATATTCATGTAATTACAATTTATGATAACAGCAATGCTCTATTTTCACTTTTAAATATTATTTTAATCTATTTTTGAATAAACCCTTTTAAAATATAATTACTGTTATAATTTCAATCACTATCTCTATTTTTATGGGGAAAAAAAAAACCCTAAACATTGAGATTTATGCCAAATGCAAATGTATACCCTAAACAATCTTTCCTTTTTACGCTTCATGATTTACGTCAAAGTCTCAAAGCTTTATTTTGCTAAGCTAACCAAAATCTGCTCTCCTTCATTTTACTGTCAAGATATACTTTCCCTTCTTCTTCTTCTTCTAATCTATGAATATAAATGTAAAAAGTTTAAAGTTTTTTTTTTTTTTTTTATCTTTAAGGTTTCATTAAAGAAAACTTAGAATTTTTTTTAATATATTTTTAGTTTGTTTGGAAGTATAATTGCAGTAATTTTTAAAAGTACTTTTCATATTAAATGGTATTAAAATGATATTAAAAAAAAAAATTATTTTTAATATTAACACGTTAAAACAACCTAAAATATAACTTTTTTTAATTTTAAATAAAAAAAATTAATTTTTTCAAAACACATGTTTACTTGTGATCCCAAACACTCTTGTTTTGATAAACACTAAATTTATTATTTTTTTTATTAATATAAATTTGCTCTCCTTCATTTTACTTTCAAGATATAGTTTCCCTTCTTCTTCTTTTTCTTCTTCTACTTTATGAATATAAATGTAAAAAGTTTAAAGTTTTTTTTTTCTTTAAGGTTTCATTAAAGAAAACTTAGGAATTTTTAATAACTCTAAAATTTATTACCTCAAATTATGCATTCTATTTTATTATTAATGTCTCTTATTACTTTTTTATTATCACCTCTGTAGGATGTGTCGTCAGCAAATTTGTAACCATAGTTGTTTTGTTGTTTAAAACACTAGAGGCAGAGCAGTATTCCGATTGGATGTGTTTGTGTATATATATATATATATGTATATACTACCGATTGGATGTGTGTGTGTGTGTGTATATATATGTATGGGTTGATACTTTATTTTCCTTGACTTTGTTATATTTGATGATATTTTATGTATTGTGGAATTTGTCTTATTACACTAAGTCTATTGGCTTGTACATTAACAACATGCGTGCTAAATGTATTCTCTATTATATTTTAGTGTATTTTCAATATAAAAACACTTTTAAAAAACTTCTAAAACAGAAGCAAAAGCTTTTCCAAACACCCCTGCACAGATAAAATATTTTAAGTGCTAGAGATAAGATTTTGATTGGATGTTTTCTATGCATTAAGTTATTTCTTGAGTGCTACGTTGCTTCCTTTCTCAATATTCATTAGATGTTTGATTTCGTTGTCCGCCATATCAATAAGTAAGATTATCTTGTTCATGACAAAGATGATTGAATATCAGAGTACTGAGACCGAAGAGATCTTGAGCGTTTTAGGCCTCTTTTTTGTCTCCTTTCTCTACCGCCCAACTCCATCATTTACACATTTAAGGTCTAAATTGACCGAAGCATTTCCGAGAAGATAGTTTACTTTCAAGTGATTAAGATTTCAGTTGTTTTTCATAGAACTTGATTTTGTATGTTGTTTATTTGTAATTTCTGCTTTTATATATATATATATATATAAAACTTGATTTTGTATGTTGTTTACTTGTAATTTCTGCTTCTTCTTTTTTGTGTTCATAGATTTATTATAGTTCTTTAACTTATATAAAATTGTAGCAATTGATCAAATGATTTTTATTTAGTCCATCATGATATCGATGTCGTGCGTGAAAAATACCCTCCTTAAAGGACTTCCTAGCTCTTGGAGATCAATACTTTATTTTTAAATGTTAATTAAAAGAAAGACTTAGAATTAAGATTTTTTAAAAATAAATTCACTTATTATTACGTGCCATAGTTAAAAGTTAAAACCTAAACCTCACACTACAGCCTAAAAAAGACCCAGCTCTTCCACGAAAAGATGTTACGCTGTATAAGCGCTGTCGTTTCCAATCGTGGATTCTTACGAGCTCGTCTTCTTTCTTCATATACAAGACCACACAGTTCAGCTCAGGACCTCTACTTGTACGAGTTCAACCAGAAGATCTCTAATTTGGCTAAAAATGGTCGAATTGATGAAGCAAGAGCATTGTTTGATCAAATGGAGGAAACTAATACGGTTTCATGGAACGCAATTATAAGGGGCTATGTGAAACGTAGAGAAATTGCTGAAGCAAGGAAACTGTTCGATGAGATGCCTCAAAGAGACGTTGTTTCATGGAACTTAATGATTTGGGGGTATGTTTCGTGTCATGGGATCAGGTTCTTAAAAGAAGGGAGAAACTTGTTTGATAGAATGCCGGAGAGGGATATTGTATCCTGGAATATGATGATTAGTGGGTATGCGAAGAATGGGAGAATGGATGAGGCGTTGAGGATATTTAAATTGATGCCGGAGGGGGATGTTGTGTCTTGGAATGCTATTGTTACTGGGTTTTTGCAGAATGGTGACGTGGCTCGTGCAATTGAGTATTTTGAGAGAATGCCGGAGAGGGATGCTGCGTCGCTTAGTGCGCTTGTGTCTGGTCTTATTCGGAATGGGGAATTGGACGAGGCCGCGAGAGTGGTGGTTAGGTTTGAGAGAGATGGTGGTAGGAAAGAGAATTTGTTGCAAGCTTATAATACTCTGATTGCGGGGTATGGTAGGAGAGACAGGGTTGATGAAGCTCGGAAACTCTTTGATCAAGTACCGTTTTGCGATGGCAAGGGAAAAGGAGGAGATGGAAGGTTGAGGAGGGATGTGGTGTCATGGAATACGATGATCATGTGCTATGTTAAGGCAGGAAATATTGTTTCTGCTAGGGAACTCTTTGACCAAATGATGGAACGAGATACCATTTCTTGGAATACCATGATTAGTGGCTATGTTAACAAGTTAGATATGGACGAAGCCTCCAGACTTTTTTGTGAAATGCCAAATCCTGATATTTTTTCGTGGAATACGATGATTGCAGGGCATGCTCAGATTGGTGATTTGGATCGTGTTAATGATTTTTTTCGGAGGATGCCCCAAAAGAACTTGGTGTCATGGAACTCTATGATAACAGGATATGAGAAAAATGATGATTACATTGGAGCAATCAAGATCTTCATTCAGATGCAAGTTGAAGGAGAGAAACCTGACCGGCATACCTTATCTTCGGTTCTTAGTGTGTCTGCTGGGATAGTGGATCTTCAACTGGGAATGCAGATCCATCAGCTGGTAACAAAGACAGTTATACCAGATGTGCCGATAAAAAATGCCCTCATTACCATGTACTCAAGATGTGGCGCAATAATCGAGGCAGGGACAATTTTTGATGAGGTGAAACTGCAAAAAGAAGTAATTTCTTGGAATGCAATGATTGGAGGATATGCTTCTCATGGTTATGCTATGGAGGCTCTGGAAGTTTTCAAATTGATGAAAAGTTTTGATGTGCGACCTACTCATATAACATTTATTTCAGTTTTGCATGCCTGTGCTCATGCGGGACTAGTCGAAGAAGGTCGAGTGATATTTGACTCCATGGCTGGTGAATTTGGAATTGATCCGAGTGTTGAGCATTATGCCTCACTGGTGGACATCATGAGCCGTCATGGGCAGCTGGAACAGGCACTGGATTTGATCAATAGCATGCCATTTGAACCAAATAAGGCTGTTTGGGGTGCATTACTGAGTGCTGCTAAGGTGCATAACAGAATAGAGGTGGCCCGAGTTGCTGCTGAAGCATTGATAAGACTTGAGCCTGACAGTTCGGCACCATATGTCTTGCTATACAATATGTATGCTGATGTAGGGCAATGGGACAGTGCAGCAGAAGTGAGAATAATGATGGAAAGGAGTAATATCAAGAAGCAAGCAGCATATAGCTGGGTGGATTCCTCCCATAGGTGATTTTTAATATGTGCCTTCTGCATGAAGTCACCAATTGGATGGCTGCACTTGTTAATTTTCAGCTTCAGGCATCGACACGCTGCCACGCAGTAAGGTTAAGAGCATTCAACTAGATTTCCATGTATCTGCAGGCTCTCAGGCAGAGGAAAACAGAAACTGGAAATTTAAGTTATTTGAACAGAACGGTGGTTTTCCCCGGAAGGAAAAGGCCAGCTGTGAATTAACCGGTGATCGCTTGCTTCAATCCTTGAGAAGGACCACTTTGATTTCCCCGGAAGGAAAAGGTCAGCTGTGAATTAACCGGTGATCGCCTGCTTCAATCCTTGAGAAGGACCACTTTGAACACACTGTCAACATGGTTAAAAAATGACGTTGGCTTCTTTTTCGTGGGTGAACTTTTGAAAACTAAGCTGACCAAGAGTGATTTTTGCTTCCAGGATGGGCTTGTCTTTTTTCTGGGAGCATGAGATGCACGCTGCATCTGCAAGTTATGCATTGACATGAGGTATTTTGCTATTTTTGTTTCTTTGGTCATATCTCCTCAGAAGAAAATTGCAGCAGGCCATCATCAATCCTCTACGGCATAGGTCCGACAAAGCACGGTACTAGATATAGCAGTCTTGAGGATTGTCCATATTGTTCGGAGCATAGGATGTTCATGACTGAAGCTGCATTGCACAAGATCCCTGAGAATTGTACATGCAGGATTTCTTGGCAAGTATTTGAGACACGTTTGGCAAGTCAAGTTGCAATGATCTGATAGTCTCATCAATGGCTCGGAATTCCAGCCCTTGCTTTGCTGCTTGATTTTATAGTCTCATCAGTCCCACATGCGAAGCATTAAACAGTTGAAGGATCCATCTCAAAATACTGTACTCTACTGTACAAGAAAAGGATGAAATCCAATATCTCAGATCGTCAAATCACGCAAGCGTTGTCAAGAATTTGCAATGATTCAAACTCACAATATCAGATGATAACTAGAAGTCTCCTTTGTGTGCATCCTTTCGATATCTTGTTGGAATTTCCTTTAAGATTCTGTTTGATTATCTTGTCCTTCCAAGTTGTCTTCTTTAACACGATATGATATCATACCACGTGGCGTTTGAATGAAAACGATGTCAGTTACACTCACGTGCAGTCCAAATATAAAATGAATTTCTCCAAAGCATCCAAAGAAAGCAACGCTCATCTTTAGTTCAATAATTTATTTTTTTAAAATAACACGCGTCAATCTTTCTTTTCTTTTCTTTTCTTTTTTTGCAAAATAGCATAGTTAACAAAATAACTAGGAAATTGCACACTTGATGGGTTATAGAAACAGCGCAAGACATAAATTGCATTTAAATTCCTATCAACATCACCTATTAAAATAATTTTAAAAAATCTATTTATATTTAAAAAAATTGTTAAAATTATATAAAAAAAATCAAGGGACAACAATTTGGCTAGATTGGCGTTCTCAATTATTCTTTTCTGTAATATAAAAAAACATAATTAAATTTCATATTTGTGTACAAACTCTATTAAGAAAATATTTTTTAAAATTAAAAAAGGAGAACTTTATTCTTTTGTAAAATTTTAAAAATAAAATATTTTGAATAGAGTTTGTATACAGATAGGAAACTCAATAATGTTTTCTTATATTAAGAAGATAATAATTAAGAATCCTGATCCATGCTAAAACGTTACCCCTTGATTTTTAAAATAAAAAATAAAAAAATGAAAAATATTTTTTAATAGAGTTCGCATACAAATAGGAAAATTAATTATTTTTTAGTTATCAAAAAAGTATAATTTAGAATCCCAATCTAGCTAGACTATTGTCCCTTGGTTTTCTTAATTTTACAAAAGAATAAACTCTTTGTAAACTTTTAAAAGACAGTTTTTAATAGAGTTTGTATTCAAATAGAAAACTTAATTATACATATTTTTTTAATTTAAAAAATAAAAATTATATTTTTAATAGAACTTGGAGACAAATAGAAAAAAAAAATTTTAAAAAAATGTATTTAATAAATTCACGTTATTTCCAATAGATTATGACAACGGGAATAAAATAACAATTTTTTTAAAAAAATATATTTAATAAATTCCGTGGAAATAACGTATTTCAATAGATTATGACAACGGGAATAAAATAACTTATTTTAACAAAAAGATCACAAAATCGACTGACGAAAGTACTGGTAATTTCTTCACCTTTCATAAAGCCATGCTTGATAATCAACGCCAGCGCAACCGAAAACACGCTAACAAACCTTTTCCACGTTAAAGGAATCTAGAAAGTTTTTTAATATAATTTTTTAAGGTTTTTTATTTAAAAATATATTTTTTATTTTAAAAAAATTATTTTTCATATTAACATATTAAAACAACTTAAAGATATAAAAAATTTAATTTAAAAATTTTAATTTTTTAAAATGTAAAACTATGTTCTTAAAAGTTATGATAATTACTTGTGTATTTGATCCATTTATTCTCACCTTTTATTTTGATCCCTTTTGTTTTTCTTTGTTATTATAACCTTTCAACTCTCTATTATTTACATGTCTAAAACTATAGCTTATCTTTTTATCTTACATTTGCTACTTCTTAATACCTCACATTTTATTTTCCTTTATTATATTTTATTTTCCTTTATTATATTTCCATTCTTACCCTCTTTTAGACAATATCTCTCCCCTAATATCTCAAGACTAAATTAACAAAAAATTGAGAGTAAGGTATTAGAATTAGATACATCATTAAGCTAAGGAAGAAAAAAAAAAGTAATAAGGTGAAACTGTATCCAAACCCTCAAGCTATTATCTAGATTCAATTAGGTTCTCGATTTATCAAAATTTTCAATTTTATCCTCAATATTTCCTAATTATTACAGTATCAAGTTTATCTCTTCTCCTCCCAAAGAAAAAAAAAACTCTTATACAGGCCTTTTTGAAACATATTCTTTCTTTTATGTTTTTTTTTTTTGTTATGACGAGGACAAGTTACATGGTATAGATGAGATGAGGACAGAAAATAAATCCATATTCATCTTAGCTTATATTAAACCAAAAGAAAAATATTTGTGATTGCTTCTCCAATAACATTACTTGGCATGTTCTTAGCAAGAGTGAGAGATTATTTAGTAGAAGGATAATATTGCAATAATTACATACAAGAAAGGATGTAATTGAAGATTGTGCTAAACAATAACAAAAAAACATTTAAAAAAAAACAATAAAAACGACACCCCAAATCTAATATATAAGAGAGGTGAGTGATTTTGAACAACCGATACTGTAACTGATTCTCCTCTCTCTCCATCTTAAAGAGAAAACCAGAACTTCCAGGATTCCACTCGACTCGACCCGTCCTGATTCACCCAGCCGTCAACTTACCAATCGAACTCAGATGATGAAAAAAAGAAGCAGAACGGACCTCGATCAAGCAGTAGTTAATGTTTGTAAACGCGAACTCGGTCAGCTCTCCACTCGCGATTTCGCTCACCGTCTCGCCGCCTCCGAGGTAACTCACCGATTCCTCCCCCTTTTTTTATCTAATTATTCCACTATTATTGATAAACTTAATTGATTAAGGGCGTGTTTGGTTGTTTTTTTTTAGGATCTTGTATTGAGGCTTGAAATACACAAGAAGTTGGAGAAGCACGAAGGGTGCGTGAACACGCTGAGTTTTAATTCTGATGGTGATGTTTTGATATCGGGCTCAGATGACCTGCGGGTGATATTATGGGATTGGGAAACTGGGCGTGTTAAACTTTCCTTTAATTCGGGTCATCGTAACAATGTGTTTCAAGCTAAGTTCATGCCTTTTTCTGATGATCGGACTATTGTTACTTGTGCTGCTGATGGCGAGGTAAATAATATAAAATATAAAAACAGCATTCTTTTATCTGATATCTTTATTGTTTTGCCTGTGTGTAGGTGATTGTGAAGAAAGCGTAGATTTTTAGTTGAAATTCGGTTTTGAAAAGGGTTGGCTTTTGGTATCCTTAGTTCTTTAAAAAAGGGGTGTTTTTTATTTGTCGGAGATGCTATTCATTGTCGAACTATGGTTTTAGTCGTTTAAGTAAAGAAGAGTGACTTCTTTGCCAGGTGATGCGGTGGATGTTGGCAATAGATTTTTAGTTGAAATTCATAGCCGGTTTTGAAAAGGTTGTGCCTTTTAATATCACTAAAAATAGGTGCTTTTTTTTATTTAGTTTTTGGAGATGATATATTTTTTTTAGTTGTGGGTTTAGCTATATTTTAAAGAAAAAGAGGAGATTTTTTTTCCAAGTAATGGAGTGGATGTTAGTGTGTCAAATTTTATGATATGCATTGCACATGATGTGTTGCCATCTTATTACTGCCTTGTTTGAGCTTAATTGTTTGGAATGAGTTTTATATTGTTGTGCTTTTGTGCTAAAGATTTAGGGCTTTTGACATTTTCCTGGAAGATTCTGAATTCAGGAATTGCTTATTTTTCCAAGAGAGTTTAGTTTGCATGATTTTAATGTTATGTTGCTTGTAGGAATTGTTCATTCTTAACGAGGAACATTTTTTTTATTTTAGATTCGACAAGCACAAATTCTCGAAGGGGGTGAAGTGAAAACTATATTGCTTGGAAAACACGAAGATTCACGAGTTCATAAGTTGGCTATTGAACCTGGGAGTCCTCATATATTTTATTCTTGTGGCGAGGATGGAGTGGTTCAACATGTGAGTTGTGATTACCCTTTCTAATTACAATTTTAGTTTTGCTCTTGCATTTTTTACAATTAATAAGAAATCTTGTAAGCCTAAAACAAATGCCTGCAGCTATCACCTTGCATGTTGTTATTCTTGATTTTTTGAATAGCTGGGTTTATGCAATTATGTGACACTGTCATTGTGATTTCAGTTTGATTTGAGAACTAGGTCTGCCACAGAACTTTTTACTTGCCGATCCATTAATGATCCAAGGAATTTCCAGCCATATGTCCATCTAAATGCCATTGCTATTGATCCAAGAAACCCAAATCTCTTTGCAGTTGGGGGAATGGACGAGTTTGCTAGACTTTATGACATCCGCAAGTATAGTTGGGATGGGTCAAGTGATTTTGGTCAACCCGCTGATTACTTCTGTCCTCAGCATTTGATTGGTAATGGGGATACTGGAATTACAGGCTTGTCATTCTCAGACCAGAGCGAGCTTCTAGTCTCATATAATAACGAGTTCATCTATCTTTTTACTAGAGACATGGGTTTGGGAAATCCTCCATTTCCATCCTTTTCACCGCCAATTTCAATGGGCAGTGATACAAGTGAATTTGAACCTGGGTCTATAGCATCTTCATCATCTATGGATGTGGATGGGAAAAATTTTGCCCAAGCTTATAAGGGGCATAGAAACCGTGAGACTGTGAAGGGTGTGAGTTTTTTTGGGCCAGGATGTGAGTATGTTTCTAGCGGCTCTGATTGTGGTCGGATATTTATTTGGAAGAAAAGGGGTGGAGAGCTTATTCGTGTTATGGAAGCAGATAGGGATGTGGTAAACTGTACTGAGCCTCATCCTCATACCATGGCGCTTGCTAGCAGCGGAATCGAGTCTGATATAAAAATATGGACTCCAAAGGCTATTGAGAGAGCTACTCTGCCGACAAATATTGGACAGGTATGCTTTATTCATCCAGTTTTTTTTTTTGAAATCCATATCCTTAAAAATCTTGTCATTGCATTATTTTATGAGAGTTGAATTAACTAGAAATAGTTTATATATTGTAATAAGAGAATCCTTTTCTGCTACTTGAGAAAGATTCGACTTTCATTGGACCAATGCCAACAGTCAGTTTGGTAGCTTTATCTTTGATCCAAGTTCTTGAAAGGGAATAATAACTGAATTTTAATTTTGCAAATGGAACATTTTCAGTTTAACTCATAAGTATTCTTGGAGACTGTCGTCTTCTCGCTCTTTTGTCCCAAACTTTCATGTATGGGAAAAAAGGCAAAAAAAACACAAAAAAACAGTGGTGTTTTGGGGATTTAATGTGGACAGATGGTAGGCTAAAACTTCCCAGTCTGGTTGGCTTATTCCACTGAGCTATTAAAGTCTATTATAAAATTTTACTCCATTACAAGCACTGTGATGATAATGGATCCAGATTGCTACAATATCCATGTATAGGCTATATGGGGCAGCAGGGGAACTAATTTCTCAGCTGTTACTTGTTTTCGAAAGGTCCTGATGCGTGATTGCTATTGGTTTGGCATGAGTGATTACAATGACAATGATTATTTCTCTGATGACGAGGATGACGACGGCAGTGAAGACAGTGATGATGTTGATATTGATGAAGACAGTGATGATGCTGATATTGATGATGACAGTGATGATGATTGTAGTGATGATGGTTGTGATTGTGATGATGATAATGTTCTTGGCAGTTCTGATGATTGTTGATTCTGATTTAAACTTTTGCTCAGGTGAAACCAAAGGCTAGGGGATGGATGTACCGCTTAGCTTCACCAGATGACCTGATGTTGCAATTATTTTCACTTCAAAGGCAGAGGACTAGGCCAGAAAATGTGGCGCAGAACTCGGTTATGGATAGGGAACTTCTAGAGCTTATACTATCATTCAATGCTAACAGTGACGTTTCTTCAGATGATGGAGGAGATACTGCAAATCACGATGACTCGTTGGGTTAGGAGATGCCATTTAGTAACCTTTTGGCCTGTGAAGAAGCGGTAGTTAAATGTACATGGTATACGGTTTTAGCTTTGACTTTTATTGAGCTGTATTGCAAGTTTCCATGCCTGACTGGCTATGTTATTCTGCATTTAAATTTTTCGTTCACCGATTGGTACTTTCTCCCTCCCTTTTTCTGTATATTTTTTTCTGTTATATAATGTCTTCCAACCAAATTTGCGGATTACAGAAACGACTTTTAGGCTGCTACATAGAATTCTTTAACAAAGTGCAAGTAAAAATAATTTAATATAAAATGGTAAAAATAATTTAATATAAAATGATAAAATATAAAAAATAATATAAAAAATTGAGTCCACTCGGGTAACATCCCGGCACTTGTGACTTGAGAAGGAATAGTATAAAAAATTAAGGAAAAAAATTGAGTCCACTCGGTAACATCCCGGCACTTGTGACTTGAGAATAGGATAAAAAAAGACTTTCGAAAGAAAGAAAGACCTATAAAGAAACACTGAAAATTAGATTAAAAAAATAAAAAATAAATATAAAAATATAAGTTAATTTAGTTAATTTGATTAACTCGCATTTGAGATAACATAACATAAATAAAAGTGAAAAGTTATATAACTTAAAGGTTAATAATTTATTATCAAATGATGAAATTATATATAAAAAATCAACTTGCTTAAAAAAAAAAAAAATCAACCATACTTAACTTGATTAAACTATTATTCGAGATATATGAGATTGGGATAACAAAACAAAATGGAAAGTGGAACAAATAATGAAGCTAAGGAATTGATAATTAAATATCAAATTATAATTTTTTTAAAAATTAATTTTTAATAAATGATTGCCCTATTAGAAGGCAATCACAAAAAGATAATAAAGTAAAATATTCAATAGTAAAACAATTTTAAACTCAAATAATGCAGGCCAAATATAATATAAAAAGTAAAAAAAATAATAAGGTGTTAAATTCAAAAACAAAAAAAACTAATAAAGAGATAATAATAAAAAATTAATCAAAAGAATAAAGATCAAAATTGGATAAAAGATCAAATGTTGAAGAATAAAATAAAAAAAAAAATAAATCAAGAAAATGATAAGAATATAAAAAAAAATAAATATGAAAATGTAAGTTAATTCAGTTAATTTGATTAACTTGCATTTGAGATAACATAACATAAATAAAAGTGAAAAGTTATATAACTTAAAGGTTAATAATTTATTATCAAATGATGAAATTATATATAAAAAATCAACTTGCTTAAAAAAAAAAAAAATCAACCATACTTAACTTGATTAAACTATTATTCGAGATATATGAGATTGGGATAACAAAACAAAATGGAAAGTGGAACAAATAATGAAGCTAAGGAATTGATAATTAAATATCAAATTATAATTTTTTTAAAAATTAATTTTTAATAAATGATTGCCCTATTAGAAGGCAATCACAAAAAGATAATAAAGTAAAATATTCAATAGTAAAACAATTTTAAACTCAAATAATGCAGGCCAAATATAATATAAAAAGTAAAAAAAATAATAAGGTGTTAAATTCAAAAACAAAAAAAACTAATAAAGAGATAATAATAAAAAATTAATCAAAAGAATAAGGATCAAAATTGGATAAAAGATCAAAAGAATAAAATTAAAAAAAAAGATAAATCAAGAAAATGATAAGAATATAAAAACAAAAGGAATGAGAACCAAAAATAAATTAAGAAAACAAATGCAATAAAATTGGAATGGATGGAATTGCAAAAAAATAATAATAAAAAGTGTAAAACACATAAATATAGCAATGAAAAGTAGAGGGGTCAAATCATATAAAAAATAAAATTAAATAAAATATTCAAGGATAAGGATGAAAAAAACTCTAAAAAAAAAAATTCAAAAGCTAAATAAACAATAATAAAAAAAAAGGGCTTAAATTGATAAAATCACAAACCGAACGACATAATTATTTTTTGGAAGATCATGGGTGAATTTATAGAGAATAAAAGAGAAAATAGAGAAGAAATAAAAAACTCTATCACAATCTAACTAGATCTCTTTCATAAATATATGCAAAGCTATTAGAAAGAGGTTGACTTGCCGCTCTCAATATAGCCAAGAAAGTAAGACTTCGGTAATTGAAAGAATCTCATACGTCTCTTTAATGGTGTAAAAACCTTAGGTTTTTTTTTTTTGTGGATTTTAAGGATAGTTTTGTAATTTCATTATTTTTTAAATGCAAAAGATGGAGAATCCCTGCATGTCCATTTTTGTAAGGGGCAGGATTGTAATTTAACTGCGTAAGTTGTTTGAAAAAGACTAAAAAGCTGCTCCACAAAAACTTAATATATTTTTTTTACTTTTAAAATTAAAATAGTTGTTTTACTATAATAATAATAAAAAAAAGATATTCGGATCAATTTATCCTCAACCAATTTTTTCCAATGATTAATGCACCCTTTACAAAAGATAATTGTACCGCCAGCTGCCAGCATAACCAGTTTTTTATCTCAAGGGTAAAAATATAATTACATTGCATGGCTACAATGAATAGGGAGATGTGTCTAGGGGCACAGTAAATCACCTATTCCTTTTAGGGTTTTTTTTTTTTTTTTTGTAATTTTTCCCCAGCTGTAGATTGTTAAACACGATGTTGCTTCTTTGTGATTGAAGAAGATTCATATCATTAAATTCTAATCTCCCGTCTAAAGAAAAGGCTGAGGCATAAAGATTTCTGGCAGGTGCTTGTAAGCGAATTGAACGTCTATTATGCATATAACAGTGTGGAGAATTTCTTCCAAGGTCTGTTCTTAGCTTTCTTATGAGGGGCTCTCTGGAATATCACCATTAGTGGTACATGAAGTTTGTAGAGAACTTCCTCCTTGTACATTAAAGAGGTAATTCCAATCACACTAGGTCTAGGCTAGAATGCTGTTGCTGCTGCTTTTGTGACATGAAATAGGAGGAGCAGCCCTTATCAGAAGACTCTGAAAGAACGCAATCATCTGCACAACATTATTCATGACATTAAATCCATAAGCCATCAGAATGAAGGAAAATTCTAGTATTACAGTAGAAAAGAGAGATTAGGGTAAAGCTCATACTGTTGCAAATCCAATGCACACAAAAATGAAGCCAGGGAAATTAAATGGTGCATCCTCAGACAGGAATAAAGCTGGAGAATAGAGGGAGAAGTTAATTCTAATAACTTCCGTTCATAAAGTTTCACTTTTGTCAATTTTCACATACCTGTCAGAGGACTATAGATTAAGGGGGAGATGATGTTTGCCAGGGAGATTATTCCTGAAATGCATCCTTGAGCCTTCCCCTGAGATGATTTTTTATGAGTTGAAATGAAAAGAAGAAAAAAATGAATGAATTTGGGTGTCCTTATTCCTCTAGTTAAAAACGTGATCAGTTAAAGATTGATGGGCTACATTTAACGATTTTGCTCTTTGTTGACAGTTAAAATGCAGATCAAAACACACAGAAGATTGTTTCTGATGACTTTCTGAAAAGTTTGAGCCTGTAAGCACGTTTACAATATACAGAGAAAATGGAGGCTATCAGTATCAAAGCATAAGACTTCAGCCACTCTTAACCAAGAGTTACCTGCTCATCAGGCCCTATTTGTTTCGACACGATGCTCTGTAACTGTGGAATTACACCAGTAATAAGACTTCCTCAGTCAAAGAGATCTTTCATGAAGATGAGAGTAAATTACTTACACACGGAGGGATGAAAACTGCAAAAACCGAAAAAATGGTAGTGGCATACGGGACCTGTCCACAATGGAAACTTACTTTCAGCGTCATAAGCAACAAGAATCGGAAAAGAAAAACAATAAGAGAAATCAATGTTTTCTTACACATGGTCCACCAATTCCATAAAAACAAGAAATCAGAAGATAGAATTCAAAAAACTGACATATAATTCCACGAACTCAAGAAGAAAAGGACAATCTGGAATAAAAGAAAAAAAAATGTAAATTAGTTGAAGCATTACCCAAGTTGAGCATGCTACACTGTAAAGCAGTGCCTGCAAGATTTCAGGTAAAATCACCAGCATTTTAGGCTCAACTTGTGTTGTTTTAGTTCATCAGCATGAATAAACGCAAACAAGCTAAGTAAGGTTAAGGTTCTTACATTTGCAATGCCCCCTAAAAGCCCTATTGCCAGTAGTTTTTCCTCTGCTACAAGTGGTGCCAACAAGGGCATGAGAAGCAGCTGTGAAATTCAGTAGAATTGGGTAATAAGCTCCGGTGACTGAATTAATTAGCCGACTATTATGTGATATGAAACGCAAAGGAGTAGAATATAATGAGAGGAAAGAAATAAATATTTTAGCAACACCCAATTTTGTAAATGCGTACCTGTGATGCCATTCCTGAAACACCAACAAGTAGCATTAGATCAGCATACTGGTTTTTGCTGAAGTGAAAACGAGCCTTCAAGTAGTACTGCATGGCACAAATCATTCAAGTTGGAAACCAGAAATTCTGATGAATGTTTTATTGATATTTCCTAATATGCTGTCTCATTTCAGGGTTGCTCAACTGTGTTTTCATCTTCTACTTAGTTGTTCTTGTTTGTCTCTTCACTTAGTTCAACATTTTATACTTTAACTGAGAAATTGAATTTCCCAGAAGTTTTTGGCGTTCTAATCTGCTCTATTGGTGGAAAAGGCATTTTCAGATTATTGAGATTGACGATCGATAAAGAGGGTAACATCACCAATAAGGAAGAGAGTTTTGTACCATGATAGAAGCCTGCAGTCCACCATATGAAAGCCTATTGAAGAATGCAACAATTGCCGCTTGCGAAAATGTTACGCTGCAACACAGTCACAGAATCTGATATCATACTAGAATGACATTAACTATGGCGGTTCGAGTAAAGCACAAGATGTTTTGCATTTGCCTTGTAGTCAATCCTTAACTACCCTTACCTGCTCTTCAGCAAGCTAATGATAGCCTGAATTGATGGCATCTTCTTAGATACCATTGGCTTCCTTGGTAAATCACCATCATCTTGACAGTGATCATCCTGTCCGCTCTTCAAGATTGGCTGCGTCAAATTTTCGCTATTTGGTAGACTTTCCTCGACGAAGATTCTCATGTACACGGCGGCAAGCATTGACACCAATGCAGCAACCTAGAATGGACAAAGAGTGTTAACAGTGGCCAAAAGAGAGGCACGCTTCTTTAAGGTATTTTTAGCAACTGAAACCTGAAAAGTCAAAGCAGTGGAGAGGAAACGAGCAGCTAAGGTTCCACAGACAAGCGCGGCTGTTGCCATGCCAGCCAGAATTCCGAATACTGATGTTCTTTGTCTCTCTAAAACGTTGTCTGCCTGGATATTTAGACGAGGTGAAACTTAACGGTAAGAACTGCCTCACGACATATCGTTTGGCAAGCAAAAGTTGCCACAAAGTAATTAGATTGATTAGAGATGACTACCACATAAGCAAGAGCAAGGCATTCGATGCTCCCTTCACAGATCATGGCTGTGAGGGTCCTGAGCGCATAGTAGGCATAGAAGAAGCCGGTTGTCCTGCTATATGCCAATATAGCTGCAATAAATAGAGAAATAAATCAAATAATAATAATAATAATAATAATTTGATTTTTAATACCAAATCTTGAGAATATGTGTACAAAAATAAAAATTTTAGAAGTAAAAAAATCCAATTTCTATTTTCAATTGAAATCTTTCCATTTCAATTGCTCATGAGCCGGGCATTGATTCTTTTTCCTTCCTTTAGCTTTTGTGCTAGTTATTGGTAAGTTTTTTTGGCAAATAATATATGCAAGATTTTAATTAAATATATCAAAAATTATTTATGTCAATAAATATAAAAATATAAAATATAAATGCTAATATTCAACTTATCTCAATGCAAGAATAATTTTTTTTATAAAATAAAAAAATTAATATTTAGATGTTATTAACATGTTTTTTGACATTAAGTAAAAAGTATAATTATAAATCAAAAACTCAATTATTGCATATAATAAAATATAGTAAAGATCTCAATTATTGCATATAATAAAATATAGTAAAGATCTCAATTATTGCATATAATAAAATATAGTAAAGATCTCAATTATTGCATATAATAAAATATAGTAAAGATCTCAATTATTGCATATAATAAAATATAGTAAAGATCTCAATTATTGCATATAATAAAATATAGTAAAGATCATACATGTAAGATCTTAGACTAATTTTTAATTAAGTAGAAGAATGAAACAATGGATTTTATATAATAATATTTCAAAGCAATAGTCAAGTTGACTCCGTCGTGGAGATCAACTTCAAATTCAGCTCACACTATGAATCTATCGCGATAGTCAAGCTTCACAAACGCGCTTAATGGCTTTAAATCAGCCATATCCATCAATGCGGCTACCCCTACATGCTCTGACCCAGGTCTCCTATCCTTAATCACCCATACCTTAACGATATTGGACCCAACAACTGCTGCATTAGCTGCATTAAGCCATACTTTACCCCTTAATAGGCACTTAGTTACCCTAACACGTTTACCCTCTCGCTGTCCCGAATCGTCCCCCTTATCTATATTAGATAAGAGTCCAGGCCCACGACCGTCGTGATGGGCTGTCTTCATCACGTTAAGGGTGTGGGTTTTACATGGGCCCTTGCACCCAACGGGTACAACACGGGAGGACCTCCTCCTCCGGGCCTTCATCAAGGCCTTGCTACGCCCACTCTTTATCTGTCGTTGGGCCCTCTTTCTCTTCTGGCCCAGCCCAGGAAGACGGGACGCCGTAGTCCCGGGTCCATACGTCCACCCACTTCTTGTAGTCACCATTTGGCACGCCCTTATTCCTCACCCGTCCGTACCTGCGTACCAAACGGATTAACTCACGAGCCGCACCATGCTCTATGGGCTAACCCAAGCCCTTTCTCATTTCCTCCTCCCCCAATTGGGCCATCACATCTGGTGTATCCACACTCTTCTGTACTAATTGCAGGTATTGTCGGGGCACTTTGATCCAACGGCTAAAACCTTTGGTGTCACCGTACGGATTTTTGCAAATCTACGTCTCTGATTGTGCCACGTCATCACAGATTCGTTTTTCAGCCAATCAGAGTTTGCCACGTCAGCTGACACTGACACCGTTGCGCCCTCTAGTAATATTAAGAGGGCGCAACAAGCCCAACCACTGGTGGGACCGGATTGTCGTTACTTATGTAATGCCCAATGGACAAGTATTCTACTAAATGGGGTCATGTACTAACCCCCTAGCCTGCGGCGCTATTTACATAAATAAAAAGCTTCTTTCCTCATTGGATATCCGAGCGTATTGTATTTCGTATTCTTTATTAATTTGATGTACTATCAAAGCAATACAACCTACTTTGCATAGTCAACTGAATTTGCTGTTGGGGGTCACTACAAGCATAGTAAAACAGCAAACTGTTTTCTAATGTTGTAGAGAGGGTTCCCTGATCTTTCATGATTAAATAGCACATCGCTATTCACACTAATCATCTCATTGAAATACACCTCATCCACCCTAAAGTTGACTCCGTCGTGGAGATCAACTTCAAATTCAACTCACACTATGAATCTATCGCGATAGTCAAGCTTCACAAACGCGCTTAATGGCTCTAAATCAGCCATATCCATCAATGCGGCTACCCCTACATGCTCTGACCCAGGTCTCCTATCCTTAATCACCCACTCTCTACAACATTAGAAAACAGTTTGCTGTTTTACTATGCTTGTAGTGACCCCCAACAGCAAATTCAGTTGACTATGCAAAGTAGGTTGTATTGCTTTGATAGTACATCAAATTAATAAAGAATACGAAATACAATACGCTCGGATATCCAATGAGGAAAGAAGCTTTTTATTTATGTAAATAGCGCCGCAGGCTAGGGGGTTAGTACATGACCCCATTTAGTAGAATACTTGTCCATTGGGCATTACATAAGTAACGACAATCCGGTCCCACCAGTGGTTGGGCTTGTTGCGCCCTCTTAATATTACTAGAGGGCGCAACGGTGTCAGTGTCAGCTGACGTGGCAAACTCTGATTGGCTGAAAAACGAATCTGTGATGACGTGGCACAATCAGAGACGTAGATTTGCAAAAATCCGTACGGTGACACCAAAGGTTTTAGCCGTTGGATCAAAGTGCCCCGACAATACCTGCAATTAGTACAGAAGAGTGTGGATACACCAGATGTGATGGCCCAATTGGGGGAGGAGGAAATGAGAAAGGGCTTGGGTTAGCCCATAGAGCATGGTGCGGCTCGTGAGTTAATCCGTTTGGTACGCAGGTACGGACGGGTGAGGAATAAGGGCGTGCCAAATGGTGACTACAAGAAGTGGGCGGACGTATGGACCCGGGACTACGGCGTCCCGTCTTCCTGGGCTGGGCCAGAAGAGAAAGAGGGCCCAACGACAGATAAAGAGTGGGCCTAGCAAGGCCTTGATGAAGGCCCGGAGGAGGAGGTCCTCCCGTGTTGTACCCGTTGGGTGCAAGGGCCCATGTAAAACCCACACCCTTAACGTGATGAAGACAGCCCATCACGACGGTCGTGGGCCTGGACTCTTATCTAATATAGATAAGGGGGACGATTCGGGACAGCGAGAGGGTAGACGTGTTAGGGTAACTAAGTGCCTATTAAGGGGTAAAGTATGGCTTAATGCAGTAGTTGCTGGGTCCAATATCGTTAAGGTATGGGTGATTAAGGATAGGAGACCTGGGTCAGAGCATGTAGGGGTAGCCGCATTGATAGATATGGCTGATTTAAAGCCATTAAGCGCGTTTGTGAAGCTTGACTATCGTGATAGATTCATAGTGTGAGCTGAATTTGAAGTTGATCTCCACGGCGGAGTCAACTTTAGGTTGGATGAGGTGTATTTGAATACGCTCTGTTACAGTAAAATACTATTTTTTTAGTTTTTATATAATAATATTTCAAAAAATATAAAGAATAAAAATTATAACAAAAAAATGGTACAAATAGGTTAAGTATTGAGTGATAAATATTTAAAATGTCAAAACTAAAAAATATATATATACATTTTTTTCCAAAAAAAGTGTACAAAAAAAAGAAAAAACTTAAAAAAAATATTATAAAAATAAAGATGAGAAAAAACTTAAAAAAATATTATAAAAATAAAGATGAGAAAAAAATAGTGATGAATAGATCAAGTGTAAAATAATAAAAATCTCAAGCATAAAAAAAATATAATAAAATTTGTTTTCTTAAAAAAATCTAAAATTTTAATTTTTTCACAGCTATAGTCCAAACTATTAGAAAAATTTACAATTATACTATTTTTACAGAAAAATACTATTTTATAATATTTAGAATTTGTAACAATATTGCGAATGAGGCTTTCATGATGTTGAATAAATTTATTTTATTAGAAGGCTAAATTCTAAAGAAATTAAATTCTCTTTTCCTCGTATCTTCATTGATTTAATATGAAAAATGCAACGGCTAAAATCCAGCCTGTCCTAGATTCCCCTATCACTAGCTCCTATGCGCGGGGCCAATTACGAGTGCTATAGATTCACGTGTCAAGCAATTTCAAGAGCCGTCCGACACTCATATTTGGCGGTTCCTAAGGAGACCATTACGGATGTCCACAAAAGCCGAGAAACGTCACCTCTCTGTGATAAAAGACTTTGCAAATTTTGGAATGATTTTTCTGAAAATGAAAGGAACGGCTCACCGACTTCAGGTTGCGTAGGAGAAAGAAAAAGGGCACGCAACAGAACATCTGCTTATGACAAAAGTCAAACTGTGTCTTTAGTGCCCTGGTGTGTATTATTTGTTATTTAAAAATATATTAAAATATTTATTAAAATTTTTAAGATTATCACATAAAAACTATATAAAAAAACATTAAACAACCATGAATTTAAAGTTTTTTTATAAATTAAATGTCATTTTAAAATGCGTCTAAAGGCAATAAACAATTATAGCTGTTGTGTGAGCTGGTAGAGGATCTGAGCTACTGGACCCAGGTTACTGGGTTTAAAATATAGTTGTTTTTTGTAATTTAAATTAAATCCCAAACTAGAAAATTACAAGTTTTCGAATAAACTCGGGGGGCATGCCGGGTTTAATAAATATTTTGACAATAGATGAAGCTGGTTTGACAAAAACGACACCGCTAAAGTGGCCGACATGCATGAATAAATGCAAAGCGATGTTTACCAAGAGATAGATATTTTTTAAGGAAAGGCATGCTTACGATCACACTACCGACCCATTGTGCCAGTGGGGCCCTTGTGCAGTCGGACCATATCCCTCCGGGCACTTTAGCGGACAACAATCATAGCTTATGGATAATTATGAAATTAAGAGTATAACATATGATTACCTAAAGGAATAATGGAGAGAGTCAAAGGAAGAGTGAGCAGAGCCTTCCTTCCATGTTGGTCTGATAGATTCCCAATAAGCGGCAACATCACGACTGTTCCCATTCCTATAATCTGCATAATAGATTCATCACTTACTAATTAATAATAGTATTTTATATTATTTCCTTCCTGTCCCTTCTGGGGCTCAAGTTAATTAAACTCTTAATGTTAAAAATAAATTTAACAAATAATGCACCCATGACATCAACAGTGGGAAACAGAAGTGACTTCAATTATTAGTACTTGTACTACTTCAGTTATGAGTATTGGACTCCCTCAATTATAACCACCCTGGATTTTATCTTCCTGTAGGAGTTGGGTAATTGTCGTTGTGATGAGAATGGAGATAGACACATCGGCCAGCCATTTCAAATATCTGTTGTTATTGACACATCATAAATAGTATCTAAGAAAACTTACTGTGGAGAAATATTAAACAAGAATAACAGAGTGATGCTGTTTGTCCTGAAATTAAGATTAGTTTTCTGACAAAATCTAACCATTTGATCAATGGTGGGTCGTTTAACTTGTAGCTAGGATCGATCAGTGAGATCCATCTCATCAATTACTGATAGTAGAAATTCATTTCAGAAAGAACTACTCATCAAATGAGTAACTTCAGTCCTGCTTCTGCATCCTTAACTAGTAATTAACTAACTGGTTTTATCATGTAAGATGAAAGTAGATGTCATTTTCTCCTAGTGAACCTCCGAGGAATAAGATCATGATATTGCCTGTTATGCAGATAGATGCATGGCTATGAACATCTTTCTTGGTAGGTTTGAGTTGCAGGTGGAACTCTATGTATGGATAGACAGAACGGAGACAGAAGAGATATTGCAAGCCAAATGATACGCCATCGCCATCTACGTATCCTTGCATGGCGTATATTGATATAGACATCAACAGGATACTAGAAAAGGGCATATGTGTATATGGCACTAAAGTTTTTTCAATTAAAAAAGATTTGAGTTTCTGGGAAACCTCAAGAACCCTTTTTTTATGTGTTCTTCCAAAAGAAATGTTTTCTAAGTAGCTCTTTAATTGTCTTATGTGATTAAATTAAAAGGCACATACACTGATTGTTTTCTAATAAAGAAAATGAGTTCATATGGAATTTCTTGAAGACCCTTTTTGGTTATGTTTATAGTCTTCATCATTTCATCAGATCATGTAAGCCAGCAAATTAAATTAAGAAATGCATAATCAATCACCCCTACTGAGAATTCGCAATTTCTCCCATGGATAAAGATGAAGGAAAATAAATAAAAATATAAAGAGAGTAGCATACGGCTTGCTGGAATCCGGTGAGGTAAATGGCAAGAGAGCACTCATCTTGACCTGGACAAACTGCTACCATGGTGACATCGGTTACCGCCGGAAGCACCATTAAGCTAGCGAAGGTGGAGAGGAATACTGTCACGAAGAGGTGGATCAATTCTGTGAACTTTTCCATGCCCTTCTTTTTCTCAGAAAATCTAGCAATAGCCCTCTTGGTGCTGCTTTTTTCTTTATCGTTGAAACTCTACTAGCTAGCTTTACTTATGTAGAACTTGCATACCACACTCGAAAAGGAGCGGATATTAATGGGTGGGTGGCTGGGTGGCTGCCATGTCCTTTTCCGTATGTTCTTTCCGGAAAAAATTGGGCATAAAATGCAAATAAATAGTGAAATGAAACATATATAAAAAGTTTCGGTGAAATAATAAAATATCACGATTTGATATTTAATTAAAATTACAATTATGATATTTAACAAATATTATAATTGAGAACTGCAATATCAATTATAATTTTATTACAATTCCTAATCGTGATGAAATATCATTGACAACTTCTTTTTAACAACCTTATACCAGTTTTTTATCTACAAGTATTATTTTTTTTTTTTTATCATTGGAGTTTAAAAGGGTATATGTCATTTTTATCATAACATGTCATGTTTTTAAAATATAATATTTTAAATTATAAAATTTATAAAATGTAATAACTATCTTGTTACATTTAGAAACAATAATATTTAATAAGTATTGTATTTTAGAAGTGTATCAAGATGAAAATATATTATTTTAAATAAACTTTTTCATATAATATTGTTCTCCTAAAAATCTTTAAATTACTAGTCTAATTTTTTATATAAAAGAATCCAATTTTAACCGAGAGAGTGTCAAAGAAAATTAAAAAAACTCGAGTGGGAGTATTGTTTTAATTTATTCAAATTTCATGTGGGGTGAATGGTCCTGGTGGATACGTGGAAGGGCACACAGTATGGACAAATTAAAACAGTAATAAAAGGACAAATCTTGCAAGGATAGTGGAGGGTATAGACGACATTAATCATTGATGCGCAAATGATGGTGTACGATCCATTTACGAAAAGAAGAAAAATATCTACTTTTTAGCGGTGGATTTATTCGGAACGTTGTTATAATTTTTTTTTAAATATTTTTTGTATTAAATATATATTAATATTTTTTATTTTTTAAAAATTATTTTTAATATTAGCATATTAAAATAATTTAAAAATATTAAAAATATATTAATTTAAAATAAATAAAAAAAATTAAAATTATTTTTAAAACAAAAAATAAACAAACCTGTAAATTTCTACACCAGCTCTACTTAATTATAATTAAAAAATTTTGAGCATATAAAAAATTAAAAATTTAATTTCAGATATATTCATTAAATTATCCAAATCATATTATTTCAGATAAAATATAGCTTAAAAAAATAGATTTTAATAAAATCATTGTTATATTTATCTTGGTAATTTATAAATATAATATAAAAATAAATCAAAATTCTTTGCACTCAATTAATAATATGTAAATAAGTATCCAAAAAAAAGAGAGTAAACAAGTAGAAAACGAGAAGGCTTGATTATATATATATATATAAACACATAAGCGTTGCTTTGCTTAACTTTTTATGAGAGTGGGATATATAATCTATGTCGAGGTTATATAAATAAATAAAGGAAAAAATTGATTTGGGTGGCTTAATTAAAAATCAATTAACTTGCAACTCATTTCAATTTGACCTATTAAAAAGTAATAAAAGATCCATTGATTTTTTTTAAATAACTTTATTTTAACCTTTTAAAAAAATTTGAGTTAAATCTAGATGAGCTAACCCTCTTGAATCATAATCTAATCTAGATTTTATTTTGGTTGAGTTTAATAATTATTATAATTTATGATTTGATAAGGTTGAATCTTGTAGGGTTTAATAGTTATTGTAGTTAAAATATATAAATTTCTTTCATCAAAATCAATTTTTTTTAACACGTGCTTTACTTTACGAACTCATTTTTAGAGAGTTTTCACTGTTTGAAATATATAATTACATGAACTCTCATCAGTCAATTGCAGAGATAATTATTATAAAATCTTCAAATTTTATTTAATGACCAGTTTAGGCCTTGACCCATGCTGGTCGGCCAACAACCTAATCATTAGGCCCAATCATGCCTGGGTTCTACCTTTTTTTTCTTAAAAAAGGAAAAATCTTGAGTTTTTATTTAGTAATAACGCTTGCAAGCCTTGAGGTTGGTCCAAATTAAGACAGGGCAAGTCTCGGTACTTTCACTCACATAAATCACTAAGCCCAAATGCGCTTCATTGTGATCGTGCGAGCTACGGAATCGTGCCTCTTGATTACGATGGCTCTTGCTGCTGTAGCCCGCGAAGAAAAACCTTTCTATTTTTGACTTTTTCTGGGTAAGAAGATATTTTTATTGTTTTCTTTTTGTTATCCCAACCCTTTTTGTTTTTTTATATTAATATAGATTTTCGGCTTAACTTATATATATTATAATTAATTTTATAAATTTTAAAGTTATATTAATATAGATGCTCGGCTTAACTTATATACAATGACCATCATATAAGCAACTAAGAACTCGAACTTGAGATCACAGAAGAAACAAACCCCTTGATCTCAAGTTCTTATCACTTGACCACCTAAATAATTCGTAACCCTCTTTTCTATTCGGGTTGGAGGTTGATCTTGGATCGTCAATAAAGATTAACCGGGTTAACTTAATCTTAATTAAGTTTTTTAAAAGTAAAAACTTAAAATATTTTTTTATAAAATAACTAGTTTTTTCTAGTAATCTAATTTGGACTAGATTTTAGATTAGTAAGTCATTATGTTAGCTTGCTGAGCTACAATTAAAAAAAAAGAAATATAATACTTTTTTATGAAATATAAGATAAATGATTTTATCTATGCTAGTTTTTAAAATGAAATAAAAGCCTGAAATATATATTTTAAAAAAAAAAGTTTTTCCACTAATCTAATTTGAGTTAAATCCAAGATCAATTAATCATTAGGTTAACTGATTAAGTTGCGGAGAAATATAATATTTTTTTATGAAATATAAAATAAATAATTCCATCTACAGTAGTCTCCTAAACTAATGAGAAAAAATAATATTTTCAGACTAAATAATTCTATAGTTCTTAAAGTAAATAGGAGAAACAATAAAAACATTATAAATAAAAAAATATTTTTCTAAATTAAATAATTAAAAAATAACCAGGAAACAAATAGCTTTCATCCAGTTATATATTTTTCCTTGGTAAATTACGAGTTGGGTAAGATGGTGAAATTTCGAACAAATAAATCTTATTATGTAAATGAACATGAAAATATCTTTATTAGTAAATAAAAATAAAAATAAAGCTCATCTAATAAAGTTGGAACTCCAATTTGGGGCCTTGTAAGAAAGTTCGTAAAGAACTTCGAAGAATTTACCTGTAAAGATCTCTTGTGTTAATTACAAGCCTAACTAGACGAGTTTCTTCCCCCTAAGTTACCAGCATGAAAATCTGTTGAAAATCTGTTGTCAGCTTGTTTGTATCAAAATGTTAATTATATATTTTTTTTATTTTTAATATTAATATATTAAAATAATTTAAAAATATATTAATTTAAAATTAATAAAATTTTAATTTTAATTTTTTTTTTAAAATACAGAAACAATCCAAAACAAATATATCAAATAAATTTTCATTATTTTCATGATATCAATTATTTTTATTATATTTGATGTAAAGTTAAAATAATGTATCTTTAAGATATTATGAGATGCCATTCATAATTAATTAATTAATTCCTAAATTTAATCAATTAACTTAAATTAATTAATTTTAAAAGTATCAAGTGTCATCATGTAAACATATATATATATATATTGGCTTTTATTTCAATATTTAAATTTATTAATTTGGTATTTCTCACATTATAAAATACAATAAAAACCTCTTTATCTTTTTAATATAAAATAAAATTCTCTTTATTTATCTACCTAATATAAAAACTATTATTTTTATAACATAGCTAGTTAAAAACTCCATCTCCAGCTGCAAAACTGGGGCACACGGCGTCTTTTCTGCGGTGCCCATCATCCCGCGTTAAATCAACCAGTAGAGAGGAGGCTACGAGGTATCTTTTCTCTTGTGACTTTTTAAATTTGAACATGGTCAAGGAAATATATTTTTTAAATGCATCAATAGTATAAAAAATATACATTTAATATTATTTGGAAGAAAAAAAAATCTAATCTAAGTTATTTTGTTTAAAAAAAAGCTGTTAACATCAGATTCAGTGGATGTTTTGTCAGCAGGCGCCGCCAGTCGCTATCTTGAAAACGTTGAACGGGAAAGCTTTTTACGGGAAATTTCACTAAAGGTTCACTAATAGTAGAAGAAAAGTGGGAGTCACTGGGCCTGCTGCAGGACCTGAACCTACTGCAAGTATGCTGCCAGCTTAAGCTCTGCCCTAGAGGAGGGCATATAAAGAACGAGTAAAATGTTATTAATCATCATCAGGTGAGATCTTTATTTAGCTGGGTTTACAAGCTTCATCTGTCCACGTTTAACTTGTTCGTGAATTGGCGTAAACTTGAATCTGTTTTAGATTGATGTCAAGAGAACACGTTAGGTGGCTAGCATTACAAGCCGCAATCTAAGAAGCTCTGCAGAAGTTTCTATCTTATGCTTGAAAATTCGTGTTGCTCGACATACTTGGCCTAAACTCCTGTGCAATTAATAAATTATCAGAACAGAGCAACTTCTGAGAGTTTCACTTTTCATTTTCTTATATAAAACCTCATGCAACTTCATAACTGAACCCCACTGCAAAAGATTATAGAAAAGCGGCATCAACAGCATAGCATGCGCTGTGTTTTATTTGGTTGGCTGTATCATCAAATTTTGCACTAGAAATGAAGCTTGTTGCCTTGCCAGTATTCTTAACTTTCTTTTTAGCTGCTGCTCTGGTTGTGAACTTTTCATCTGCTGTCCTTTTGTATTTGTTGTTCAACTTCTTAATTGTGGTCATCATCTTTTGGAGTTATAAGCCATGCAAAGAAGAACTCGACGAACGCTGGCAGCCTTTACTGTCTTCATGTGGAGATGCCTATGTTAAGAGCAAGGGTGAGAATGAGAACAATGAGAACGCTGAATCTTCATGTGATGTTGCAGGAGACATTTGTGTTAACATTAAGGGCGAGAATGACAATAACGAGAAGGCCCAGGACAATGACAATGGCAATGGCATAGACAATGATGAAGAGAAGCACGGTTGTTCTGATGGTTGTAATGAAGACGACAACAACAATGGAAGCGCTGCTGAGATTGGTTGGCAAGATGTTGATGAAGAGATTGATGAGAATCTGGAGAAGAGAATTGAAGACTTCATTGCTAAGGTTAATTATGGATGGAGGGAAGAAATGCTGAGGGACCAATAAATAACCATCTTCATGATCAGTTGCGGCTTGTTTAACGAGGTATTAAAAATAGCTCGCCGAAGCACTTGTGAATACAGTAAATGGTTTTCGCGACTCTCGATACCCAGATTTTTTCAGGGGGCTCTGCTCGTCAAGTTCCCTTTTTGTACTTATCTTTGGTCGTTTTGCTTTATTGATTTTCTGTTATTACGACGACAATCAAATATGGCATGTATAAGCGTGAAGGTAAAATACTCGTCTTTTCTTCTTATCTGGGTTATACTCGGGCTGGAGTGTGAGAGAACGAGCCAGCATCACAACTTAACACACACAACTGCAATCCAAAACATAACTTAATCGGGCAGAATCCACCACAAGAATGTCCTGATTTCATAATAATTTAAACCAAGAACGTTTTGTTAATCAAAATTTTAATGTTATTATCACTAAATTTCGGTACTTTATAATCCTATCAATCAAACTTCTTTTTTTGGTTTTTTTCCTTTCCAAAGTGAAAGAATATCCTCATCCTGCTTTATGTATTGAGACGTTGAGACCAAGTCTCTTTCCAATAAGATCTTAAACAGCTCATATACATCCACATTAAAATAATTTTCTTTCAGCCTCTCACTTTTTTCTTTAAGTTTTCGATTTCAGATAAATTTCGCAGAAATACATAAAAAAATATAATACAAAAAATCAAGCATACATCGAGGGGAGAATTTTTTTCATGTTGCTTCATGATGTGCCAACGACCTGGTCAGATGAAACAAACGTGTAGGACAACCTGCCACTTATATGGCTTCAAGAATCCTTACTTGTAGAGGCTAAAATACTTATATTACATTTAGTTCACGGAACTCTCAAGGTAAAGATTCTAAGCTACAAGAAACCTGATCAAAGAGGGACACTTCAATTTGAATTTTAACCTCAACTCCTCCTGACGCCAAAGCAAATATGGCAAATATACCCCACGTAGTCTCTCTTGTTTTGCAAGAATACTAAGGAGCTATACAGGAAAACACGTTTCAACTCCATGCCCTTCCAAGTAGACTCCGACTTAAACGGATATTGCCTGTGGATATTTTGTTCCATTAGCAAGAAGGCTTTGATTTGCATTGCATGACAAACGCAAACAGAAATATTGATGAGCTTAAGCATGGATATGATGGTGCAATGAGTGTTTAAGATACAAATACCATAAACGAGGGAAAAGATAGACTAATTAAGGAGGCTTCTCGTAGGAATTCTGCTCTCTGAAGTCTGCAATTGCACTTCGTATCATTTCAGACACATGGGGTTGAACAAACATGTGAGAGCTGTCCAAAATATGAATGATGAACTTCTGTGATGCCGGTAGCGAAGCATTCAAATTGATGATGAATTGTGCCATAGGTATGTCACTACAATATAAACATGACAAAAGTCCTTCGGTGAAAAAAAATTGGAGCAAGAAAGGTGAAGCTAAACAAAAGCCTCCACCGCTTGCATGAAATATATGCACATCTAAATGCACCTACTTGGCCATTCGATTGCAAGCAACGAATGGCTTCAAATTATCGCATTGATGACAATCACATACCAGCCCAAGAATGGATGGCTAGAAATGCATTAACAACTAAACAATTCCTCAATTTCCTTGGCTGAAAAGGTTTTAAGGTAATGAGATATTTACCAGGATATGAACAACCCTTTAGTGGCATTCACCATTTGTAGGAGTCTGAAGTCTGAACTGCAAGAGAACTTACAGGTATTTGAAAGTTAGCACATTTTCTGGACTGAATATACTACCACAAGCAAATGCAACAACATCAGACTGGAACAAAAGAACCAAAACAACAAAAAAGAATAAAGAATCTTTTTGTTTATTTCTACAGCAACCCATTAACCAAAACAAGAATTTCCAAAGAATTGCTTCACCATCAGAGAGAACACAATTGAATAACAGAGATTTCACATTCAATTACATCAGAAAGCCACAAAGTTTATGTTTTTGTTCTTTGCTTACACAAAACAATTTAAAAACAAATTGACCAAAAAAAGTGGAATCAGTTGCAGTAGCAATAACCAAAAGAACCCAGAGGGAGTATTTTGGCCCATAAAAAATCAAGGAATATTAATCTATAATATTCCATGATTTTAATCTATAGCGGTATTTCACCTTTTTTTTATGAAAAGTTGAGGACATCATGGAATAGAAAATCTAAAACATGCTGTCGTCGCTTCCTATTGCAATACTATTGTAACAAAACAACAAGAGTATCTTGACCTTCTCATTATCTCTAAGCAATCCAACGTTGGCCTCATCACTGCAACTGAGAACTGTTGATGTTATTTACATGCTCAATTGCATTAAAAAATCACTAATCGCATCAATTAAATCCTAATTTATCTCAAATCAACAAACCCTAATATATAAAACTTAACCCAAAACAACAATCCAGTCAACGCTCAAACAATCACAAAATAAATATGAAACCGATGTTTACCTAGATTTGTCGACTGAGGAGTGGTGGTCGAGGCGGTGGAGGCTACAAATCGCGTTGGAGACGGCGGTTTTTTGGAGAAAAAACACTAAGGATGCTGGGTTTGGAGGAGGAATAATCGGCTGGTTTATGCGGTTTCAAGGAGGAAAGAAAGGGTTGGGTCGACTGGGTTTTTTGAGCAGCGGCGGAAATGAGGAAGTAGAAAGGAAGTACTATTCTAAACTTATCTTTTTAACTAAACATATTTTATCTTTTTTGAGTTTATTTTTTTTTATTTTGAAATACTAAATAAATACAACCCAAGATTATTCATAAAAACGTTCATTCACTGCAATCAATTTGCAACGAAAATCAGTCCTCTTGTATTCTCCAACGTGAAATTCTTTCTCAACTAAATTCAAATCGAACAATAAAATGCTGCCCTGGAATTATGTAGCCCGTCTTTGACAGCGATTTCGAGTTTGCCTTTGAGGAAATGATGATCATCTTCTTCGACCCTTTGGCAATCTTAAGCATGTTTTCCACAACCCCAACCTGATGACCTTTTCCTTTCAGCTCTATTTCTATTTCTTGCCGTTGGTGACGATTAGGTTGCGAAATCCTTCTCTCTGTTTGCAAAACTGGGTTGTCTTATTCTTCAACTTCTGAAACAAAAAGACAAAAAAATGAAACGATGAGGTAAAGGAATGTGTAGGCAACATGGAGAGACTACTGCTAATTCCCAACCACTCTCACCCTGGAACAGTCAGGTTGATATCGATTTTCATTGCAAGTCTTGGACAAAGATTCTAAATCAGGCGATCGCGTCAGAATGGAAGCTAAAACTGGAAAGTGGTAGTCCATCAGACAGCCATTCACTGTAATGACCAATTACTGGAGATCATCAAACACATCAGGAAGGTGATTGAGAAGGAATTGAGCTGCAGCATTGCTAACATAAGTAAACACTATATAATTCAGCATAAAACAATTGTAACAGGTAAGTATAAGCATTGGATATCTAACTTTTTAGAGCATTTTCAGAATCAGAACCTAACATAGAATTCAAAGAGAGATGCTCAAGAGAAGCAAACACTCCACTGGGCTCTTCAAGACACTTATATTGGAGATCTAACTTGAATTCTCAATGTCTTGGAACCAAACATCCACCTAGGCAACTCAAAAGGCTGAATTTTCCTCCGACTCGGAGAATGGATCTTGTTCAGCTATCCCAACCTCAAGGTTAATCTCCTGAACTTGACAATTCACAGAAACACCAATCCATTTATCAATAAGATTTAAATCAATATCACAGTTATCTGTGTGCCGGCAAGCCCAGTGGAGTAAAAACCGAAGTATCGCCAACCCATTTCGCTGGCTCAGCAATCTATCCACACGATCACCAAATTGCTTACACAAATTTGAGGGACCATCATATGAACAATTTGTTATAAACTTAAGAAATGGGCTAGAGATGGACAATTGCCTACACCATTTTGATGCTGCTACAGTTCGAGCCTTGCCATCCATCTCAAGGAAGGAAAAAAAAATTGTGATGAATAATGGGGTCTAGCAGACTAGATAGCCGAACCAACACCGCAGCATTACTACACTGCTTTCCGACCTCGTCCTTATGCTCAAAAGTCCTCTACTACAGATTTGAAAAACTGCCCAATCAGAGATGTATCTCAAACTAATACAGGAAACAACATGTCCAAAATCATTGAAGATGGAATCAACACGACTATAAATAAATACCATATGAAAAATATACAAAAGCAATAGGCACAATGAAAAATGAGGCTGAGACAGAGAGATTTCAGTTTGGAGGATCACAAAATTCTCTTAATACTTTGCCCAATCAGATAATTGTTTTTTTTTTTTATGTTTCTGAAGGCAGAGATAATGTTCAATAGACGGGGAATCTAGTTGAGAATTATTTTTGTGTGGGGATTCAATAGATAATTGGGTGATAGTTGGGAAATAAATATGTCTTTTGTCCACATTAAATTTAATTCATGCTTTAAAAAAAAAGGAAGTTATTCACACTAATAATAAGAATTTGAGATAATAACATAATAATAAGTGTGAATTTTTACAATGTATGTCAACGATTATTTATTTCAAATAGATGTGGAGACTCTGAAAATTATAGCAATCAAGTAATTATATTACCGGAAGAAACGTATTATATACTTCTTCTTTTCTGTTGCCTAGCCATGCTTTGCCTTCTACTGGCTCTCTGATGCCCATCGCAGTAAATTGACGAGCTTTAGCATGCATGTAAATTTTTGTCCCCCATACAAATTGAAAAAACCCATTTCAACAAGACTATCTTCTACTTTGGTTATATTATTTTGGCCAAAGTAGATGAAATCAATCACTTACAGGGTGGTTGTTTCCTATTTCAGAAGTTGAGTTCGTAGATGAGGAGGCGGCACTTATAATTGGCAAACTATAACAATACCAAAAGCAGCCTGGAGTTAGGTGTGTATGATATTCTTCTTTCAAAGAATACAAACTACATATTGGAATATGGAAGTTAAGATGGATAGGGCTTGGGAGAATATGAATGATTGGAATGACAGGTTACAGACAGCTCACCAATTGACAATCTTGCATTTGTACGAGGACCCCATCACACCTACCCTGTTCTCCTGAAGTATCTCTTGACCTTTCTTATAGATTTGGTCCTGTGCTGTGCTGTGCTTATTCAACTGCTCAAAGCTTATTCAAGATAACCAAACACAGATAACCCTTTGATTTCATGTATACGCGTTGCTACTTTCCAGCGCAATGTCAGGATTTGCATGTGAGGGTTTGGTGAGCTTCGTTATGGTTTGTTGTCATACATCCATAAATTAATTAATCAGTTAGAAAGCTTAATCGATTAAGAAATATTTCTTTTGGTTGCTTCGAAATGCAAGTAAACTAACTCTTTCTTTGACAAATGAGCCTCTGATCTCATAGCAAGAAGCATTTGTAAGCGATGTGACCAGGCATTCTGGTTTTTTGGCTAACAAAGTCAAGCTATCGGTGGTTATATCTGGATTATAGTTTATTAAGATTCATTGTCAGTTCCTATATAAGGCTGGTAGATACAGGAGTTATTAATCCATTCTACCACATATCAATCTACTAACGGGGAAATTAAAGATGGACCAGTGCTTGGAAGTTTCAGAAGGGAAGGCCTCACCGAAGAGAGATTTTCGAGCATTAAGAGGTGGAAATCATCGAAGTCTGAAGAGCAATTTGTTGGAATCCATTGCACAAGTAAATGATGGAAGTGTTGTTTCACACACCAATGAAGATGAAGATGGATTTGTGAGGATGAAGTTGGTGGTAAGGAAGCAAGATTTAAAGCAAATGTTAGAGCTGATGAGAGGTTGCGATAGCAGTACTAATCAGTCATCATATTCACCAGCATCATCTTTGTCCCTCGAACAGCGATTAAATCTTCTGCAGAGAAAGCATCTTTCAAGATCCAATGCAGCAAAGGGGAGCTGCCGGCGTTTTTGGACTCCTGCACTCCAAAGTATTCCTGAAGAGCTCTTATATTAACTGCTGATATGCTGACATCTAGAAAGGTTTTTCCTTGCAACTTACATGTCATCAATCCTGTTTGTTTCCTCCATTCTGCTGTCAGTTCCATGTTATTGTGCTTCTGCTAAATCCAAGTTTTGTTGAATTAATATATTGCTTGTTAAGACACAAAATCACTGAAGAATGGGGAATTCGACAGAGAAAGATGGAAGAAAATAAGCAGTACGCATCAATGGTAAGAGGAGGAAAATAAGCAGTACGCATCAATGGTAAGAATTCGACAGCAAAAAACCTGTGAATTCCTACCCTTTCTTGCTTCAATATGGATTGGAAGGGTATGCTGGTAAAAAAAGAAAGAAAAAAGATCCTATTAATTAGGAAAAAAGATCGATACAAGATTAAAAGGTGATGTATCCTCAGATAAAATGAAAAGATAGGAAATCAAAAGAGTTCGATGATTTTCCTCAATGGCGGCAAATCCATGAGGTTTTTCTTCTTATTTTGAACCACAAAATGGTATGATATTTCCCATTCCTGATTCAGAACTGACTACCATCTCATTATGCGGCAACTAAAAATTAACTTTGATCAATAGATTAATGCCGTCTTTTCTTGTCTCGGCAGCCCGTGCTTCCACACTTGCATTTGAATGCTTTGATCGGATGATGCTTGTCATCAAACTGAATACCATAATCCTGCAATAATAAACATTCATTAACCCTGCAATATATAGTCTTAAAGTCAACAGATGCCAAATAAATTTGTTCTGTTAACTGAACAAGGCACGTGATATAAGATGGAGTGAAATTTTACCCATGTCAACTCTTCCTTCGGCTCAATACCTCTAGTTGTGAAAAAAGCATGCTGCATGATAAGTATAAAAAATAAACAATTGAACCCTTACATCCACGGAATTCAAGACATGATTCTATTTCACTGAGAAAAAGGAAAACACTAGCTAGCATTTGATTACTGTTACGAGATAGAAGAGATGAGATAGTGGAGACAAAAGGGACTTGTCCCCTATATTTCCCGTTTTAATAAAAACAAAAATTCAATTGAAAATTATCACAGAAACATCTTATTTCATGTCTTTGTTTTCGTTCTTTCAATCAAACATTTTTTTTTTGTTTATTTTATATTTATCTCTTCTGTCATAAGACACCAGCTAAACGCAACTCAAGCTTGAGAATCTAAGCTCCATACTCTATAATAGTGATGATCCGGAGTCTCCACTTCCACTGGAATCTCAATCAAGTTAGAATCATAACATCTGAAAAAAAAAAGTATAATTAAGATATACACACTCATGCATGATAAAAACATAGAACCTAAAAAATTTCTTAATCAAGTAGAGGCAAGGTAGGAAAGTGTCAGGAGGGCCATGGAAATACCTGTGATTGATAAACCTGCCAATGTTTCCAAATTCTGTCGCGTCCAAGCAAAGGGCCTCTTCATCCTCCAGTATCCTTTCAGAGCCCCAGTCTGCATCCAGCAGCACTGGATAAGTATGCCTCTCCTTTTTAGCAGCCCTTTCATTATTTCGCTCGTACAGTTCCTGATTCGTCACAATTTCGCCTACATACTCACAAATGAAAGTGCCTTTCTTCAAGGCATTCACAGATCGAACACCCCACCCTTTCCCTTCAGGTGCTGCAAAAACCTAGATAATACATAACTTGGTAGTTATTACACAAAAAGATGCCATGAATAAAAAACGGACACATACTAAATGGCTTCTAAATGAACATGCTGAGGTATCTAACAGGAATTTACTCAGACCTGCAAAGCAACTTGTATCCCTCGCTGGACAACACGATTTCCACATTTCTTGTTGCATCCACATTTACTCCAGCACTCTTTTATAAATTTCCTAGTTAAATGGCCCTTGCATCGTTTTATTTTCCCATATCTCTGTTGCGGTTCATTCTGCAGGGGGCAGATTTCACAGTAGTAGAAGTGTTTTCTTTGAGGATCCAGAGACACAGCAATGGCTTCATCCAAAAATTCTTCCTTCGGCATTCCCTTCTGCGTGTAAACAAACTCGCCACCTGTTTCCGCAGCACATGCACAAGACAAGTCTGAGGATAGACAATCTCCAAGACATTGTGCACAACAGTTATCTTCTGATATTCGAGCAAGAGAAAAATCAACATGGCCACCTTGGTATACCATGTTATTTTTTATGTAGATAAAATCTGGCAACTCTAGTGTGCTGCTTTCATTCACTAGGGGAACTGGTATATTATCTTCACCACGAGATATATCTTTGAGAGAAATGGGGTATTTCTTTTGAAGGACAGCCTCCATCATCTGTGGTTCTGAATATTGTGGGTCTTGTAGAACCTTACTCGGCTCCAATTTAGAGTTGTCCTCGTTATCATCTGTTACAACTTCTTTTCCTTCAGGCTGCTTTGATTTCTCACAAATTTTTCTCCGAGTTTCACTGCTAGAACCGTTGTCCATCTCCAAGAAGAACCGGCACACCTTTTCCATCAACTTCACGAAAGAGAAATCAGGATTCTGGATTCCATATGTTTTGCGGCATTCATCTTCCATCTCTTCTAGAACTGCATCCAAACTCCGTTGTCTGAAATAAGAATTTCTAGAAGAGTTACAAATTAAGGAGACCTTCACTTCTGCATTGACTGAAGATGCAATATCAAACTGTGATGAATTGGAAACACCTTCATGTACTCTATCCTCCATAACTTTATCCTTCACAAAATTTGATCTTGTTCCTCTAGCAGCAGCTTGAGGAGATTCTAGACTCTTTCCTTTATCCTGAGCTGGTGGACTAGAACCAAAATTTTAGCTTTTTTGTTAGCAAAGTTAACAGCAGAAAATGAAGCCTGGCCATGCCGATGTTCGAAATTGTGATTCAAGTTTGATTCCTCATTACTCTCCTTTGTTAGAATATCAATCAGTTCTTTATAATTATCTTCTTCAATGAGCTTCCAGTCATCTTTATACAATTTTACCAGTCTTTTTAGCGTTTCCTTAACCTTTTCTTCTGCAAAGCCAAAATGCGCCACTGCCATGGACGCCTCTGCTATTTTTTTACTGTGACCACCAGTATTTCGTGCCATATCTAACCGAAAATTCAATGCAATTTAATCTGGAACTAACTTCCTCTGGTCCTTCACCTTCAACAATAGGCTTCAAAGTGAGAATTCTTTTCCACTTCTGACAAAAAATATTGTTAAAACTTTTAAAGTGGAAGCATCTCCTCCTCTGATTTTTAAGTCCCTTTGTAGAAACAATTTGGACTCTTCAAATCTGACATGAAGTTAGACGAAGACAAATTGTCAGCTGAACTATTTCAACTGAGTGACGCTAGAAAAAAAAAAAAAAACTTCAAACATTAAATCTTAAACCCTAAATCCTTACAAAGACACAAAGAAATCATCAATTGCAAAGGTTTGAACTTTATCACTCAAAAAAGAAATATAGCCTTTAAGAATATAATTAAAGATTTATATATATCATCAATATTCTAAGAAAAAGATGGTTTCTTTTCTCTTTTGATTAATCTTATTGTAGGAAGTCTCTTGAAAAAGACCCTGGTGGGGTCAAGTTTTCCTTGAAGGAAAAAACATGACAAAAAACCCTAACCTCCTGTAAATTAAATAATAGGTTTGATGCAAGAAAAGACGTTTAAAGAGGTAAAAACCTGAAAACTCAATTTCAAATCCCACCATAGTTCATTGAAACTCTTGCAAAATAGGAGAGATTAATGAGTTTATAGCTCACTAATACTCTTGACAAGGATACTTAACCTATCATAAATAAAATTTAAAAAGACAAAAACAGAAGGAAAAATACTTACCCCTCAAAAAAAAAAACCAAGTTTCTTCCTCTTTGTGCCTCGTGGCACAATTGTGCAGCCCTGTGCTGTGAGCTTTCTTACATGTTACACTCCAAGTTTCTCTCTTTTATGCTGCCCCTCTTTGATTTGAGTGTCATTATCTTTCCTTATCTATTTTTCTAGGGTTTTAAGAACTAATTTATGTATTGTATTTGTTAGTTTTTTAACCCGATTTTATGTATTTATGCCGATCGGTCTTCTTCTTGACGCAGTTGGGAATTACAGGGATACAAAGCTGGCAGTTTAATCGCAGTCTGGGCGGTCAAAATTTGTTGCACAAAGCAAGGAAGCATCATAAATTCATGAACAAAAAATCCACTGCCACTTTCCTTCTATGGAACCTGAATCAAACTTGGTGTCCAAATTGAGAAAAAACATCAACGTTAAAATCCCACACAGATTTGAGTTTTTGAAACGATCTAGAATTCTTTTAGGGTTGGTTGTTTTTATTGGACAGGATTTTGATTGTAGTTTAAAAAACATGAGAGTCGAAATCTAATTTAAATTTGATTTTTAATTCAATTATATAAGATATTCGATTAATTTTTTAATTATTCAATTTAAATTCATTATTTTTAATAAAAATATATTATTGTTGACCCGAATTGAAGTAGAGATAAGTTTTCATATGATAAATATATTTTTTAATTCAATTAGATAAGATATTAACTTCATAAAACTTGATTAATTTTTTAATTATTCGATTTAAATTCATTGTTTTTTAAATAAAAATATATTATTGTCGACCCGAATTAATGTAGAGATAAGTTTTCATATGATAAATATAATTATGAATAGTAAACAAAATCATATTTGAAAAAACTTTCCTACTTTATCTCATGTTGTGTTTCACGAGTCCTAAGCTATCCTCACCGTCCATGCTATACAATTTTTCGAAAAATACGATGAAGTCAATAAATGATGATTGCCTCCAATATACTTAGCTTGGGTTTTTTTATTTTGTTTTTTTTTAAATCACCTTAATTTTAGGTCATATAACAAGTGAGTTAGAGTGATTTTCTTATTAAGAATTCGAGTTGATTGGGTTTTTTTTGTTTTTTTTTTAAATCACATTAATTTTAGGTCATATAACAAGTGAGTTTGAGTGATTTTCTTATTAAGAATTCGAGTTGTCATAATTTTTTAATTGTGATTCAAAATTAATTAAGACTTTTAATTTAAGTCATATAAACAGATTATCATGAGATTGGGTTAAAATGATTTAAAATAAAAATATATCAAGTAAAAATGACTTACAATAATTATAAAAAAAGAAATATAGTATGAGTTATAATACATACATTAAAAATAAAAAATTTAAACTTTTTATTAAATCAAAGTTTAGACTCATTCTTTTTAATAAAAAAGACTTTTAATTTAAGTCCGAAATTATTTCTAATCAAATATACTTATAACTTTTCTTTAATCCAAAAATTAAAAAAAAAACACTTAAATCAATTTGTAAACGTCATTTATTTGTGGTATGAATAAGTATTAGTGACACCAAATAGTAGAGTGGTCTTTTAGACACAAAAAATATAACATACACGAATAATAATAAGATTATAAATAATAGAGGGACCTTTTAAACACACACACACACAAAAAAAAAAAAATATTTTCATTTTATGGTTTGAGATTTTTTTATATAACCTCATTTATGTAGTTATATCTAATTTTTTTAATCCCTTGTTTTTAATTTGAGTAAAATAAATCTGTGGAATTCAATGTTGGGTTATGCGTTTCAAATGATGCATGAAGGGAGCCTTTTATGACATTTGTGAAAAAAATAAAAAAAATAAAAAATAATTTTCCCAATTTAATTAGTTTGCTTTACAATGACCTAAATAAAATGTACAGAATTAGGGAAAAATTGTTAAATCCTTCGGAAATAAACTCTCTTTCTTGTGTATAAAAGTGTAATCCACCCTAATAATTACTTATAAACCTCAATTTTGTAGGAAAAAAATAAGAGAATATAAACTATAAAAGTATTGAATAATAATTTCTTAAAAAATCAAGGAAGGAGTGCTGGCATCATTTTGTAATCAAGGTTAATGGACCATGTAACCGATAGGCCTCATCTTGTAGCTCTATTTCACTCATGGATATTGGAAAACCCATTTTGTATCCAGGCCCAATAGGCCCGTAATAAATAAAATAGAAAAAGATCCAAGTAATGGTTAATGGTATCTGTCATTTGCCTTTAAACGTAAGTTATAAGAATTGAAGTTGGATAGCGTTGTCACGTAAATTTTAATTTATTATTTTATTATTAAATATTTATGTTCAAATAGTTTGTTTCTTTGAGAGATTTATAATTCTTTGTTTAAACCTAAACACTAATCTAAACAAATTAAAAAATATAAAAATATAGAAAAAATAATAAAAGTCTTAAAAAAAAAAATTATTAAGCAAGGTATTTAGTTTCTTAATCTAAACAGAAACAAAATAAAAAATAACCATGCAAATATTTTTTTCTAAAATCCTCTTGCATCAATTTCTTCAAGGTAAAAATAATTCATTCTCGAGTTTAAAAAGTTACCATCAAGCATCATCTATATCATACTAAACCTTCTTAATAAAAAAATCAATTTTAATATTAAAAAAAATATTTGAAAATTTACTTCATAGCTTTTATCTAAAAATATAAAAATATCAACTTTGATCTCATTAATTTTAAAATTTTCTCAAGATACATATGAGGTGCATCCTTCTGATAATTCTTCAGGTCCCAATCTTTGTTTCCTGACAAATTAGTCATGGAATATACTTTGCATATCTTTCATCATTACTTTTTACATATTTATTTTTAATTTTGTATGTTTTTTATCACTAATTTTATAGCCTTTTTTTTCTAAGTGAATCTTTTCATCTTCTACACAAATATATAGTGTTTTCCTACCTTATCTAGCTATGATTATTCCAGTATACAACAACATTATGATTGGTGGACTCTAATACTAATTGATGTAAAGCTATGTTACCAACAATAGATAAAAACAAAAAACAAGAAGACAACAAACTAAAAAATAAAATTAAAGCCAAATAAAATTGCTATACAAAACTCTAATTCATGATTTCATTACTAAATATTTATTTTCAGGTGGTCTATCTCTTTAAAAGATTTACAACTCCTTACTAAACTCCAAAATTAACATAAACAAACTAAAAAAATTAAAAATAAAAGAAAAGCAATAAAAAAAATTCAAAGTTAGGAAACCTAAAAAAAAGAAAACAATGAAAGACCCAAAAAATAGAAAAAATAAAATTATGAAATAAAATTTAATTTTTTAAAATAAATAAAAATATAAAAATAACTTGAAAATATAAATAATTAACTTTTCATAAAAAAGTCCTCCCACTTATTTTGTTTTTCAAATGCATAACAATTCATATTCATTATAAGTCTCAGGCCCAAGAAGCAATGGGCTTCCAATGGAACACTCTCTCCGTTTTTTTTTTAATTACAAAATCCTCACATCAACTCCTATTCTTTATTTGATTTATCATAAAAAAACTCATGTTTTTTTATTAAATTAATTGTAGCTTTAGTCACCGTATTCTTGCAATTTTGTTTATTAGTCACCGTATTCTTACAATCTTTTTAAAGGGTATCCTCTACTCTAGAAAATTCTATGATTCATCATCTAACTTAATTATCACATTAATTCAAGATAATATGGAAAGTGAACATTTATCCAACACATGTTAATAATTAACAGTAAATTAAAAATAAAAAAAATAAACGATTCATATTAACAAATATCAAGAAGACAAGGAAGTAAGGAGCAAATATATGATCAATTCATTTATTTATTTATTTATCTCTTCTCCTCACTTGACATGTCGTTTCGATTTTCATCATGGTCACTAAGCTGTAACTGAAGATAAAATGATAAACATAGAAACAAAAACGATGCGTCGGAAATAGG